TATTTTTGACAGTTGTTGTTGTATGTATTTGACAGGTGCTGTGTTGGAGTATATACCCTTGACAGGTGTGGTGTTGGGGGTATACTTTTGACAGGAGCTGTACAGGATCTGATCCACTGCAACAGTGAAGGGATTGAGAGCTGTTTCAAGAGGACCGAGTCTACTTTCTCAATGAGTTTACGCTTATTGACGACGCGGAGGTGTGGTCAATCCATCCTCCGAATTGACAGTACGGTTTAATACTAAGTGTAATAAGTACATTTCCTTACTGTCATACATAGTACATAATTGCACTTATGGGGCTGTTACATCTACCTCCCCATTTATTCTCCTCGTTTTCTGTTAAGACACTCAGAATTTTAGGATGAAGGTTTCAAATTTAATTTGCTATACACAAGTTTTTTTTGTCTTATTAAACAATTAGAGATTTTATACAAAATTTGAAAATATCCTGAGTTACGTTACAATTTATTGATATATTTTAGTTTTGTTTTATTAGTTTTATAAAGCTGTAATATCAGTATAGCTATAGGTTAAGTACTAATTGTAATTAAGAAGCAATAAAATGCTTATCTTCAAACTCTAACAAGGTTAGGTTAGGTCGTGGTTTTCAATTCACTTTTTTCAGGTAAACTCAAATACTCACAATATATTTGACAGTACGGTTTAATACTAAGTGAAAATAAGTACAATTCTTGACTGCCATGAATAGTACATAATTGCACTTACTTGTGCTGTTACATTTCCCACCCCATTTTTGGAGGACGGGCTGGGCCAGTCTTAGTGGAAGTGTGGGCCAGTCTTAGTGGAAGTGTGGGCCAGTCTTAGTGAAAGTCTGGCCCGCCTTAGTAGAGGCGTGGCCCGTCTTTTATTATCAAGTCGCCTACATGTGACTGTAGCCATCATTCTACGTAAGATATAATCTCTGTTCACTTTATCCATTCACGTGGCCTTTATTTCCATCCATAAGACCTTATTCATCTATGTGACACAATCCGGCTATTGTGAATGGGGTGAGAATAGCTTGAGCTACCTCATCCCTTTGTGTGTATTTTACCTCAATAAACTTATTTCAATTTCAATTTCAAATCCGGCTATTGATGTGGCTTCATTCAACTATTCACAAGACCTTCTCACAACCCCAGAAACCTGTTTATCTCCCAGGTCTGACACGCACACACATCCCTGAATGCAAAATGTACCGAGAGCTTTTCCCTGCCCAAGAGTTGAAATGACTCAGATCTCCGCTAACAGTCCATTCACCTGGGTTCTAGGAGACTCGAACCGTAGACCCCAGTAAACTGTTAGTACACTGAGGTGGTTCATGAGTAAGCTGTTAATACATTCATGGGTTCATGAGTAGGCTGTTAGTACATTGAGGGGTTCATGAATAAGCTGCTAGTACATTCATGGGTTCATGAATAAGCTGCTAGTACATTCATGGGTTCATGAATAAGCTGCTAGTACATTCATGGGTTCATGAGTAAGCTGTTAATATGTAAGAAAATAAAGATTTCCAATACCACCATTTCGGCGTGCAACGTCACGACAGACAGACAGATGTTTACTCTATAGACTGCAAGGTGGCCTCTTGCAACAGATTATCACTGCAACTTTCTGCGAGGGGTAACTTTTAGAAATTGCTCACGATTTGCAGCGTTCCCCAAAGTTATTAGGATCTGAGGTTCCTGTCTGTGAAGTAAACCGTTCCTGAGTCTTTGGGGGATTTTGTGGGCCGGGTGAGCCAAGCGGGACGTCTTCACTACCAGGGCAGGCCGGCCTAGTAAGGTTTCCCAGCGTCAAGAAGACAGTCAGTTGGACGTGTCCTTTCCTAACCTACCAGAGGACCGTAAACAGAAATCAGGACTGAACGTCACTTTCGCGAGCGGCTTTCATTTTCTTGTACAGGCACGCACGCATGCACGCACGCACGCACGCACGCACGCACGCACACACACACACACACACACACACACACACACACACACACACACACACACACACTACACAAGCATGTTACTAAATCTCGTTTTAGTAATTACCTTGTATAATCTCTCGGTATATCTGAAAGTTAATGAGCTTCAGATTCCGTTATAAAGGTCATCTTACACTAAACAAGACAGGACTACACTCTGCCACGGCCGTCTCTCTCTCCACAACACTTTCAGAGAGTGTATTGCCATCATCATGACCAGGGGCCAGATTCACGAGGCAGTTACGCAAGCACTTACGAACGTGTACATCTTTCCTCAATCTTTGACGGCTTTGGTTACATTTATTAAACAGTTTACAAGCATGAAAACCACCCATTTAACTGTTGTTATTGTTATAAACAGCCTCCTGATGCTTCGGGGCCCATTAACTGTTTAATAATTGTAAACAAAGCCGCACATGATTGAGAGAAGATGTACAGGTTCGTAAGTGCTTGCGTAAGTGCTTTCGTGAATCTGGCCCCTGAGCTCCCACAACGTGAGACTCTATTTACATATATTTGCCACAAATACACTCACTGTATTTGGTTTTCCCTTTTTACTCATACACCGTTTTCTTTTATTTTACACATACAGACACAAATAATAAATCATTGCTGATACAAACTGTACGATTTCCATTGGACAATAAATTTCTGGAGCTTTGTGCGCGCGTGTATTTACTGTTTGTGTCTGAAGAATCGGGCACTTAGCTCTTGGACCCCGCCTTTCCAGTTGGTCTTTTTTTGTCCGTGTATTATGTCTATAAAATATATTTCTCTCTTACACACACACACCCCAAGGAAGCAGCCTGTAGCAGCGGCCTAACTAACTCCCAGGTACCTATTTACTGCTAGGTAAACAGGGGCATCACATGAAAGAAACTGTGCCTATTTATTTCTGCCTCGGCCGGGAATCGAACCCGGGCCCTTAGGCGAGCACTGTCCACTCAGTCGCAAGGCCCGAGTGTGTGTGTGTGTGTGTGTGTGTGTGTGTGTGTGTGTGTGTGTGTGTGTGTGTGTGTGTGTGTGTGTGTGTGCCTCACCTTATACCTTCAGTACCCCAAAAAATCCCCATAATCCATTTAAACAACCAGATCGGCACCTCTAAATGGGTTTTACAGTCAAGAGAATTCAATACACAAGCTATATTAAAAAAAAAACAAAGGCAATTTTTCTGGCTAACAATCCATCAAAACCACCAGCGGAGGACCCGAAATCTCGCGTCAAAAAACTGTGAAGTTTTGGACAGCAGGCTTATGGCTAATGGACGGTCCGTTACGCGGGGAGGTATGTTCGTTCGAGGTATATATGTGCTTCACCCTAGTCACTGTTGAATTCCTTGTCACAGGGCACGTACTGACAGCTGGTAGTGTGGAGGCCAACCATTCGTTCTGACAGCTGGTAGTGTGGAGGCCAACCACTCGTTCTGACAGCTGGTAGTGTGGAGGCCAACCACTCGTTCTGACAGCTGGTAGTGTGGAGGCCAACCATTCGTTCTGACAGCTGGTAGTGTGGAGGCCAACCATTCGTTCTGACAGCTGGTAGCGTGGAGGCCAACCATTCGTTCTGACAGCTGGTAGCGTGGAGGCCAACCATTCGTTCTGACAGCTGGTAGCGTGGAGGCCAACCATTCGTTCTGACAGCTGGTAGCGTGGAGGCCAACCATTCGTTCTGACAGCTGGTAGCGTGGAGGCCAACCATTCGTTCTGACAGCTGGTAGTGTGGAGGCCAACCACTCGTTCTGACAGCTGGTAGTGTGGAGGCCAACCACTCGTTCTGACAGCTGGTAGCGTGGAGGCCAACCACTCGTTCTGACAGCTGGTAGCGTGGAGGCCAACCACTCGTTCTGACAGCTGGTAGCGTGGAGGCCAACCACTCGTTCTGACAGCTGGGAGCGTGGAGGCCAACCACTCGTTCTGACAGCTGGGAGCGTGGAGGCCAACCATTCTAACATAAGAATTAAAATCAATGAGTATTGATAGTATTTCGTAATTATTATTATTCTGACCCCTACTCTGTACTCTCTTCTGCTTCTCTTTGTCTTGTAATCAGACCAAAACAGCAGAGGAGGTCTGGCTATCGTTCCAGAGGAGGTCTAGCTATCGTTCAATACAGCCAGTTTTGTCTTAGACCATTCAGAATACAAGAAATTTAGATATGGGAGGTTCTCACGATTTAGCACTCCGTAAATAATGATATTGACTTCCCCCTAACTAGAAACGTCTGAGCTTCTACATTCCACGTAACCTGTCGCACGTCTATGGTGCGATATATGTACACATACCTATGGTACGATAGGTATGTGTAAAGACACACATACACGTGTGTGTGTGTGTGTGTGTGTGTGTGTGTGTGTGTGTGTGTGTGTGTGTGTGTGTGTGTGTGTGTGTGTGTGTGTGTGTGTGTGTGTGTGTGTGTGTGTGTGTTTGTGTGTGTGTTTGTGTGTGTGTGTGTTTGTGTGTGTTTGTGTGTGTGTGTGTGTGTGTGTGTATGTGTGTATGTAATATAAAATATGTAATGTGTAAGTATGTAATATAAAAGCCACACGGCCACATTAAGGCTACAATATGGACATGTGTTAACCTAACGTTCCAATATGGCGCATCTAAAGTGAAATAATGATATCCTGATGTACACAAGAGCGACAATTATCGAAAACGCAGCCCATTAAGACATGACAAGCGTACAATGTAGCGTGGGTAGACCTACAATGTGTATGCTTTTGCTGTACGACAGAGCACATTGTATCATTTCTACCGTTTACACTATGATGATATCACGCTAAAGCTGTGGACGAGGCTTGAAAATCTTACTTTAAAGCTGAGAGTGACGTAGAGATCATGCGCTTCAACTGACTATAGGCTTGGTGAGGAAGGATGATGAGGGGATAGTGAGGGTTGACATATATGACAGAGGATAGTGATTGGGACCCTTGGACTGAGGGCGTCTTGCTCTCTGGATGACGGCACACGTATTGACACACACAGGAACTGGTACCGGCGACGACGGTCATGAGACATGACAGTCGTCATGTTTGAGGTTGTACAATGTCAGGAGGTCCAGTTTGAGGTTGTACAATGTCAGGAGGTCCAGTTTGAGGTTGTACAATGTCAGGAGGTCCAGTTTGAGGTTGTACAATGTCAGGAGGTCCAGTTTGAGGTTGTACAATGTCAGGAGGTCCAGTTTGAGGTTGTACAATGTCAGGAGGTCCAGTTTGAGGTTGAACAATGTCAGGAGGTCCAGTTTGAGGTTGTACAATGTCAGGAGGTCCAGTTTGAGGTTGTACAATGTCAGGAGGTCCAGTTTGAGGTTGTACAATGTCAGGAGGTCCAGTTTGAGGTTGAACAATGTCAGGAGGTCCAGTTTGAGGTTGTACAATGTCAGGAGGTCCAGTTTGAGGTTGAACAATGTCAGGAGGTCCAGTTTGAGGTTGTACAATGTCAGGAGGTCCAGTTTGAGGTTGAACAATGACAAGAAAATCTGTTAAGAACATGTAAATATAAATTACAGAATGCCTATTGGCCCATGGCGAGGCAGCTCATATATATATACCCAACAATATGCGTTCAACCTTCGCTTGAAACAATCCAGCGATCCCGAGTATATTATGGTACCAAGTAGTTTGTTTACAGTGTCAGACGGGGCTAGTTTACCGCTATACGGTGTCAGACGGGGCTAGTTTACCGCTATACGGTGTCAGACGGGCTAGTTTACCGCTATACGGTGTCAGACGGGGCTAGTTTACCGCTATACGGTGTCAGACGGGGCTAGTTTACCGCTATACGGTGTCAGACGGGGCTAGTTTACCGCTATACGGTGTCAGACGGGCCTAGTTTACCGCTATACGGTGTCAGACGGGACTAGTTTACCGCTATACGGTGTCAGACGGGCCTAGTTTACCGCTATACGGTGTCAGACGGGGCTAGTTTACCGCTATACGGTGTCAGACGGGCCTAGTTTACCGCTATACGGTGTCAGACGGGCCTAGTTTACCGCTATACGGTGTCAGACGGGGCTAGTTTACCGCTATACGGTGTCAGACGGGGCTAGTTTACCGCTATACGGTGTCAGACGGGGCTAGTTTACCGCTATACAGTGTCAGACGGGGCTAGTTTACCGCTATACGGTGTCAGACGGGCTAGTTTACCGCTATACGGTGTCAGACGGGCTAGTTTACCGCTATACGGTGTCAGACGGGGCTAGTTTACCGCTATACGGTGTCAGACGGGGCTAGTTTACCGCTATACGGTGTCAGACGGGGCTAGTTTACCGCTATACAGTGTCAGACGGGGCTAGTTTACCGCTATACGGTGTCAGACGGGGCTAGTTTACCGCTATACGGTGTCAGACAGTCTGAATCACCACAATTCCAGATCTGGTGTGACGGTGTCCTGTGTCAGCTGGACTATTATTGCACTGTTCAGTGGCAGATTTTATTTATTTTGGATGTTGCATAGTGTCATCGAGTTTGTGAAGCTGTCATGTGCCAGTGGATATGGGTTTCCATTGAACAATTTTGAACAATGCAAGTTCTGCATTTTGTAGCTTAGTGTGAAGCGGCAAGACCGCCTGTCTGTGTGTAGATCTTGCTGTGAGGGGGCAAGAGTGTTGGCCTGGTGTCGGACTTAAGGCCCATGAGTCGTGGGAGGGTCATTAACACCTCCACAAAACTTTAATGACCAGTGCTGTTAGCGCTAAAACCAAAAAGACGAACAAAAGTACCCCGATAAGAACAAAAGTACCTCGATAAGAACAAAAGTACCCCGATAAGAACAAAAGTACCCCCGATAAGAACAAAAGTACCCCGATAAGAACAAAAGTACCCCGATAAGAACAAAAGTACCCCCGATAAGAACAAAAGTACCCCGATAAGAACAAAAGTACCCCGATAAGAACAAAAGTACCCCGATAAGAACAAAAGTACCCCCGATAAGACGCAGTCAACCGCAGGAGAAAACCTTCAGGTCCAACTACTGCATGTATATAGGGCTCACTATCGGCGCCCCCTTACACTATCTTTTGAGATATTATCCCCTACCACCAGCAGCACTCTCTCACTCTCTCTCTCCCTCGTCTCACCTCTCAGTGGCCCTTCTCTCACCACCAGGACCCGCCCCTCTCTTCGTCATCCTACAGGATATCTGCGCATCTATTTCCCCATCTGAACAGAGATCGGATCCCATATAGCAGCGTATCCTGGACCATCTCCAACGTCTCTAAGTGAGGCACTTCTAAACTCCGACCACCGTCATGATGTCTTTCCCGGCCATCCTGACGTCTTCCCTATCTTCTTGACGTCTGTCCCACCTTCCTGACGTCTCCCTCAGCGTTCTGACGTCTCCCTCAACTTCCTGACGTCTCCCTCAGCGTCCTGATGTCTCCCTCAGCGTCCTGACGTCTCCCTCAGCGTTCTGACGTCTGTCCCACCTTCCTGACGTCTCCCTCAGCGTCCTGATGTCTCCCTCAGCGTCCTGACGTCTCCCCCCACCACCCTGACGTCTCCCCCACCACCCTGACGTCTGTCCCACCTTCCTGACGTCTCCCTCAGCGTCCTGACGTCTCCCTCAGCGTCCTGACGTCTCCCTCAGCGTCCTGACGTCTCCCCCCACCACCCTGACGTCTCCCCCACCACCCTGACGTCTGTCCCACCTTCCTGACGTCTCCCTCAGCGTCCTGATGTCTCCCTCAGTGTCCTGACGTCTCCCTCAGCGTCATGACGTCTCCCTCAGCGTCCTGACGTCTCCCTCAGCGTCCTGACGTCTCCCTCAGCGTCCTGATGTCTCCCTCAGCGTCCTGACGTCTGTCCCACCTTCCTGACGTCTCCCTCAGCGTCCTGACGTCTCCCTCAGCGTCCTGACGTCTCCCTCAGCGTCCTGACGTCTTACTCAGCGTTCTGACGTCTGTCCCACCTTCCTGACGTCTCCCTCAGCGTCCTGACGTCTCCCTCAGCGTCCTGACGTCTCCCTCAGCGTCCTGACGTCTCCCCCACCACCCTGACGTCTGTCCCACCTTCCTGACGTCTCCCTCAGCGTCCTGATGTCTCCCTCAGCGTCCTGATGTCTCCCTCAGCGTCCTGACGTCTCCCTCAGCGTCCTGACGTCTCCCTCAGCGTCCTGACGTCTCCCCCCACCACCCTGACGTCTGTCCCATCTTCCTGACGTCTCCCTCAGCGTCCTGATGTCTCCCTCAGCGTTCTGACGTCTCCCCCACCGCCCTGACGTCTCCCTCAGCGTCCTGACGTCTCCCCCACCGCCCTGACGTCTCCCCCACCGCCCTGACGTCTCCCCCACCGCCCTGACGTCTCCCTCAGCACCCTGACGTCTCCCCCACTTCACCACTGCTCGCCTCAGCTCTCTCAGACATCTTTACAGAATGTGTCTGCTGATGTCCTTATCTTTCCTCAACACTTTCAGCGATTTAAATTAGATTTTTTGAACGGGTGATTATTTTACCAACTTTTCAAAAGTGTTTCAAAAGCTAATACACTGGTTTCAAGACTAATTAAGCAAGTATACCTGAGAGCAGGCGATGAGTCACAATAACGTGGCTGAAGTATGTTGACCAGACCACACACTAGAAATTGAAGGGACGACGACGTTTCGGTCCGTCCTGGACCATTCTCAAGTCGATTGGACCATTCACAATCGACTTGAGAATGGTCCAGGACGGACCGAAACGTCGTCGTCCCTTCAATTTCTAGTGTGTGGTCTGGTCAACATACCTGAGAGCTGGACTATTGTCAAGATTAAGTAGACTCTGTGGTGTATACCCAGTCTACCGGCGAGCTGGGTATACACATTATAGTATATTTTAATTGTGAACTTTCCTCCTGTGAAATTTAGGTGTTATTTAGTAGTAATGGCTTGGCGCTTTCTCCCGATAACTCCTTCCCTTTTATCAAATTTGAAATTATCGATTTGATAACTGATGCCAAATGGGTAAAATGCAATTTTTTTTGAATTGCTCATTTGATACCAAACTTTGTGCCAAATCTGCTGGTGTTTCTTAAAAAATAATTTTTTTGTATTAATTGGAAGCTGAATGCTATCGAATTACTTTTTAATCCCTTTGGCAAACTGTCGACTTTAACGCGTGTTCCATTTTTTGGGGAAGAAATTCAAATTTGCTAATTTTTGGCGAGAATATTTTATCGAAATGAAACGAAATCCATTCAAGTTGATTTTAAATATTAACACATTTGCAAAGAGAGAAACTGACGCGCTAAATGAAATCTTAAAAAGTAATTTGTGATTACTTTTTCTGATGGTATTTTGTTAGGCTCCTTGGAACTGGCTTGGTACTGGCTTGGGGATTGGAGGAAGGTGTTTTTAATGCCATTTCCATTAAAAGATGAATTGTTTGAAGTTATTAAAACTAATATTTTGAATGTCTACATATATATATATATATATATATATATATATATATATATATATATATATATATGTGTGTGTGTGTGTGTGTGTGTGTGTGTGTGTGTGTGTGTGTGTGTGTGTGTGTGTGTGTGTGTGTGTGTGTGTGTGTGTGTGTGTCACGAAAATAAACACGTGATTAAAAATGTGACAGTGTCAGACCACGGAGGAAAATTGAAACAGGAATTTCCTTAAGTACTTTCGTATATTAATACATCTTCAGAAGGAGTCCACTGAAGATGTATTAATATACGAAAGTACTTAAGGACTCCTTCTGAAGATGTATTAATATACGAAAGTACTTAAGGACTCCTTCTGAAGATGTATTAATATACGAAAGTACTTAAGGAAATTCCTGTTTCAATTTTCCTCCGTGGTCTGACACTGTCACATATATATATATAATTTACACCAACGCCAGGGTGATCATCCAGTGTTAGGGTGAGCACCAGGTCATGCTTCACCCTGCTGTGCATTAGGCGGTGCGTGTGCACTGTTTTTATCCGCCCGTGTCTGAACCCCAAAAGGATTTTTCTATCCTTTTTTTCCTCTCCTATCCGAAACACGCGCGTTGATAACAAAAGAAAATAAAGGTCTGTGTTCGTTATCGCATTTGGTCGCTTGAGGTCTCTGAATCATCAGAGTCTCAGCCTTTTTTCTGTGTGAACCATTAATGACCGTGGCTGTATGTACTGGGTCAAACAGCCTAGTTGCTAGTTGAATACTGGTTTAGTAAATGTATATTTAATGGTTATATGAGCTGGTCGAGATGAAGTTTCATCCAAGATATCGTCAGTTAATTGGTGGAGCCAGTCCTTATGTGAATGGTCAACACCATTCCTTATGTGAATACGTAATGGTGTTGGAAACAGCATAACAGGGCGAGCAGCAAGGTAACAGAATAACAGGTCTAGCAGCAAGGTAACAGCATAACAGGGCGAGCAGTAAGGTAACAGCATAACAGGTCTAGCAGCAAGGTAACAGCATAACAGGGCGAGCAGCAAGGTAACAGCATAACAGGGCGAGCAGCAAGATAACAGCATAACAGGTCTAGCAGCAAGGTAACAG